TGTCTGACAACTGCCATTTGGATCTTGCCTTGCATTTGCCCGATTGTAAGAGATCTGGTGCGCAATTTCATGAGATACAGCAAATGCTTATCGATACTACAAGAGAATCTCAACAATTTAATGCAATGAATCACAAGGATGAATACCATACAATCCTAATCTATCTCTAGTCAATTCACAAGCAGTTAGGAAACGAGATGAATCAATAAATAGCAACTGCTGTTCAAGTAGAAATTAACGTTCTTGACAATTAAAAGAAAGCTGTCTTCCGTCACTCATTAGACCCTTCTCTGCTAAAGAAAACTTAACAAGCAACTATAGGGTTGAGAAACCAAGGATCAATAACTTCTGATCTTTTCCTATTGCAGCACCTCTCCTTGTCATAACTCCATGCATCATGCAGTTCACATCCATTGAATTCAAGGTTCCTAAAGGCATGATTAACTATTTTCCCAGCAGATGATCCCTTCAGCAGTCAAAATCTGTTAACACAAGGGGAGTCGCCAAAGAAGGATTCTAATTTAAACATGTTATTTAATTCTCTCCAACTGTGCCCGAATACACTGAATATCCACTAGGACTGACTGTAACTCATATCACCATCTTTTGAATACTTCCACAATTTGAAAGTCAATTGACAGTAGAGAGCCGCATTTATTATAGGCATTCCATGCATCAACAAAATTTCATTACTCATTTCAAACTGCAAGCATGAACATAAAACATCATGAAATATATTACAGTTGCATCACAGAAGGCATTACTTCTAAGGATGGAGTTAGTTTAAAATATGAGTATAGATACTCTTTTGACCCCCAAAAAGCAACAGAAAGACAGCCCAAGAACAGTTTATCACATTAACCGAATGATAAAAAGAAAATATCCTTATCATTGTTCTCTATGCCCACAATATCATGTTTAGTAAAGTTATTAAAACCCTGCTAAAGATTATTTGAGGCAAGCTTTAGATTAAACCTGTCCAGCCTGTCTGTTCCTGCTAAAAGCAAGAGCTTGGGAACGGGACATGATAGAAATTTATCTGAAAGGCCTTCATACCTGCAAGATATGCATGCTAACCAATCATTTTTATATTTGAAGAAGATGTACATCATGCCAAATCCTTTATAGCTGTGCTTATGTGGGAACTACATTATGACCCCATCTGGAAAGGAAGAAAAAATATATAAAAATAATATAATAAACATCAGTTATTGGGTGTGTTTGAGCACGTGCATGTGCAGGAGTCAGGCATCTATAAATCACAAATCTTATGAGATAGTATTGTGTCATCAACTCAGCAACGGATTTCTCTGGGATAAAGATATCAAATGAGAAAAATTACATCCAAGCACATGGCATTCAAACCTATACCTAAGACGTACACAGTGAAGGCTTTGGTTTCATTTACATATGTTCGAACTTTTGTACAAAATTCACATCACAACACCATTTATTTATTCGTGAATCTCAATTACAAGTTAAATCATACCAGCCTCTCCACTATTGTTCTGTTTCCTCCAAGCAGGTTCTATAAACATAACTGCAGCACAAAATCATGAATTGGTCAGTCAATTCAGAAAAGAGTGCAAGCAATTTTGATGTTAAAAACAGCAGCTAGTATACAGTTTGGACAGGTATTCCCTCATTAATTTCATCAATAAATATGATGTGTCAACATTTCTAATAAAATTATCGATGATCATTTACCATCTCTAATTTTCATCAGGGAAAATGTTGGTAATATCAATAAAGCTATAACTTGCCACATGGCCCACCTCTCTTCCTCCCTCATTTCTTTTTGTTCTTCTTTCTTTCTTTCTTTCTTTTATACAAAACAACACATTTTTCCTTTTATTTTTTCACAAATCTAGCTTCAATCATCACAAATTCAACTACCCTAACATGTAATATGACAGTGTCTTATCTTGATTCAACTGTTTTTTGAAGATTTGTCACATCAAGTAACCAAACCTACCTATTTTTTGTTATAACTCATTTTCTTATACTAATTTTTTTTGGTATTTTTGTGTAGTATATATAGTTTGTTTATGAGTTTACTTATTAGATCATGGGCTGATTGAGGTTAGTTATAATAGAATTATCGACGGGGCGAGAAACATTTAACTTGAAGGGAACAAGCTGAAAAAGAACTTCATTGCTATTAAATCCATGATAAAATCCCTTGACTTTGAATACCATAATATTGATATGTGTCCAAACTTCTACATGTTGTATTATCAATGTGTCCAAACTTCTACATGTTGTACTATCGTGAAAATATAGATTTTACCAAATGCAGAACCTAAAGGCATGCTTGGTATAAATGTAAAACTGGTAGAGGAAATACTTTTGTCACATATAGAAAACTAAGATACTTTTCATTCACTCCTAAATTGTAAATGTTATTCATGTCTTCAAAGGTTACCAAGCACATGACATGAAAGACATCATTCATATGATATAGTGCATGGGGTCATATTGCACATTTTCAGTGGTGAAGCTTAAGAGTCTATGTTTTCTTGATAGATATGCTTCTAACATATCTAGAATGATGAATTTAAAAGATAGTGGATTGTATGGAATGAAAAGTCTTAATTGTCATATGTTTATACAAATACTCATTCTATTTGTTTAAAAGCATTTATTGATAAAAAGGATAAGGGATACATTCACGAAGATCAATCACTTTCTTAAAGATATATGCTCAAACAAGTTGTATAACCAACACATATAAAATCTTGAAATGAATATCATCTAAAAAATCTATAAACTTGAGATGATATTCTATTCATTCTTTCTAGACTTAATAGAGCATCTACTAATATATCTATCATTTTAGGCAAAATTTAGAGGTCATGTTCAGCATAAATAGATGTATCCATTCAAAAATTTAGGAATTATATATGCATACTAAGTAAATTTATATTCTTTTTTATATATATAATTAAAACATTCAATCTCTATTTAATTTCATGCAGATATTTGTTCAACTTTAAGAAAAAATTTAAAAACAAAACACATGTTAAGAATAAATCAGTACCAAGCCAAAGAATAACATCTTCTAAGGTTAATAAATCAGTACCAAGCCAAAGAATAACATCATCATCAAAACCAAGAAGAATCTTATTAGCAAAGAAGGTCATTTTGATATACAAACTTTTATTTTCAACTATCTTCGCTTTCTTTAATTTCAATTGCTCCTCATATATTCGTTTAAATGTTAGTTATTCAAGAGTTATAGGTCTTTCAATCATCTCAAAGAAATACTTATTTGTCACTCCATCATGCATAACTCTTCTACATATCTTATTGTGAATATGGTATCTCATTTGGAATATGTTCTCCCTATAACCTTTTAAATCATCCACCTTGACATCCATAATTAATGTTTTCCTCACTATAAGTGTTTTTCCCTCAGTTGGATACTCAAAATAAACATCATCAGCATCCTTTAATGGTGGTGTTTTCACCTTTTTATCCTCCATATTGATCTCAAACTCATTATTAGCTTTCATAACCATGACTATTTTATTTGGATATTAGGAAGCAACATGACTAAAACCTAGACAATGAAAGGATTTAATGTCATGATTATAAGAAATAAGAGTGACATTATTACCTTTAACCACGGCTAAGTGTTTTCTCCTCTCTAGGGTATTCAACCTTGCCCTTCTCAGTCTGATGTGATGGACCACCCCTAGTGTTAGCCTTTCAACTAGGTTTCAAAGGCTTTAAAGAGCCTCATGGTTAGTTTTGCCAAATAATACCTTTTCGTCTAAACTCTACATAATGATGTAACTTCACAATATGAACTATATCATTTAATGTTAACTCGCCTAACAACCCTCATAACATTAAATTATTTTTGCTCAAGACTAATTTGAACCCTATCTTGATCATTAATATGTTGCCTCTCTAACCTATCTCCAAATTCAATAGCCATCTAATCCATCCAATGATGCATAGTGCATTATTAAGTTATAGTTTCATTGTATCCTCTCTGTGGTACAATGTTGTTACTTGCCTCTAATATTTTTTAACTTTAAAATTGGTTAGATAACAAGAAATATATATTCCACACTTATTCCTTCATGCTTTTACACTCCTTTCGTGTTTAACTTAAATATAGGTTTTTCACTCAAATATGTTCGCCACACCTTATTCCTCACCTATTCCTTCATGCTTTTATACTACTCTTGTGTTTAACTCAAATATAGGTTTTTCACTTAAATATGTTCGGTACACTTTATTCCTCACCCATTTTCATATTCAAATATGTGTATATTACACAAGAAGCAAGAAAAATATGAAAACAAGGAAAGATGAAACTACAATTATAATTTCACGAGTAACAAACGAATTTGTTTGAAAAATATATGTTTTTAAAAATATGAAAGAAAAAAGATGCAAAGGTTATATAAAAAAAAATTAGATAACACCTAAATATATCAATCATGATGTTATTATACTATCATAATTGAAAAATAACAACAGAAAAACAAGTTTGAATTATTGATATGTAGTCGACCTATTATGACAAGTTATAATCCTGAATTTAGTTCTTATAGCAAACAAACTCCAAATGATCTTAAATTTTACATTCAGTTCTATTAGAAACTTTAAACCCGTCATATAAAATTCAAGAATTTTTTGAATTTATTTGATCTAAAATCCCCTTCTAATACAAATTTAACCTATTATGATAATTGTTTTTATCTTGACCTTAATTACTACAAGGAAAAATCTTCAAATGAGCTCAACTTTTATATGACATATAATTAGAACTCCAAGAACTCACATATAAAATTTGAGAATTTTATGAATTATTTTAGTCCAAATCCTCCCTTGTTTGTATATTATAATAGATTCCACAAAAATAACTTTTGGACATTCATTTCTTTTCTTTTCTTTTTACTTCTTTATGATATAGATATAATATAAGACAATAGCAAACTAAAATAACTCCTTTTTTGAACTAAATCTTCCTTGTGGGATTGACCCCTTGCTTGCTCTATACTATCTTATGTGTTGTGTTTTAAGCTAGGGTAATTAATTTGTGCGACCACGACATCGTAACAAATTTTGACGCCGTTGTCGGGGAAGTAATTTTAGTTGATTCTTGTGCTTGTACTGTTATTTTTAGTTGCTGTGATTTTTTATTTATATTTCTGAAAAAAAAAGAGAAACAAAATTTTTTCTTGTGGCAGTACTGTTTATTTGCGGTGGCAGTACTGTTCAAAACAGAATTGTTTGTGGAATTAGGTTTCAGCTTTTCTTTTCCTGAAGGAAAACGACGTTCTGAACAAGACTAGTAGTATACTACTATCCCTACCCTATTGAGGCCAAATTCCACTGTTTTCTAAGGGTTTTAGGTAGTTTTAGTTTTCTAGCGTAGGATTTTCGTACAATTTGCATTGTTTTCGGTCTCTTGTGTGATTGGTTTCTTTTGAGTTTTCTTGATGATTTATGCCAGTAACTCGTTCTACTAATCAAATTCAAGTGCAGTTGGATCTCGAAATATAAAAAATGTTACATAGGTTATGACACGACTAAAAGATTGATGTCTTCTCCCAAGTGCAGGAGTGTCGAAGTAATAAATAACCCGGCAAGACCGGGGTCGAACCACAAGGAGGTTATTTGTACAAATTATAAATAACAATAATACAACAACAATAACAATAACAATAACAACAACAACAACAACAACAACAACAATAATAATAATAATAATAATAATAATAGTATTAATAGTAGTAGTAGTAATAATAATAATAATAATAATAAAGAAAGAGAAGAAGAAGAAGATGATGAGAACTTGGAGATGAAAAATTAATGTAAGGATTAAACAATAATAATAATAAATGTCAAGGTTAGAGGTTCCACTAATGGTATATCAAACAAGTATAGTATAAACTCTTATCATTGAATTGGAAACCACACACAAAGGAGGTTCCAATCAGATTATATATTGTTAACATGATTACATTAGTCATCTTATTCAATTAATGCTAATACTTGTAAATCTCGTCAAGCATTCATGATTATAACTTATGTTAACAACAAATCAAGTTCCTTTCATAGCTCAGGTGTCGGTTATACCATACATTATGGACTATGAAAGTGCCAAGCATTTGTTGTACTAAGTGTTATACAACATAAATCAAGATTAGTCATTTAACAAGCAAAGTATTAAAGAGTGAACAAGATAACAAATATAAAACATGTTAGTATCAAACATTAAAGTCCATATTAAGTTTACATTATACTTATTCTCACACCATTAGTGTAACATTTTCACCTTGACATAATTAACTTAGCTAGACATAATGAAAGAAAGAAAAATAGATAAACAACATAAGAACATAAAAGTTAACTAGGTAAAGGAAAGGAAATGAAAACCATAAACTTAATATTAATGAAAGCAAAGCATAAACATTACAAAAAATACAAAGAGAGAAAGAAAAAGCATGATGTTGATCTGGAAACCAAGATGCCTAAATGCATGGCAAATGCCTCCTTTTATAGGCCAAAATTGGGAACTATTGATTTGATGACTAATT